ACCTTTGATTAACTTTCTATTCTTTATATGCTTATAAAATACTTTATAATTCCCTTTTATATTACCCACTAATCTTTTCTCATACAATCTCTTTGCCTCTTATTTCCCTTTTCAGTTCTTCTCTGTACTTTCTATATTCTATTTGATTATCTTCTGTATTTTGGACCTGACATTTGTCATAACCCTCCTTTTTCTAACACTCTCGCAAAGTGTCCCTTTCCAGAGCTGTAACCGTGTCTTTAATCAATATTGCCCCCACCCCTCTCCATTTTTCCTGCCCTATCCCTCCTGAATACATCCCTCCAGTGCTATGGGACGTCCTCCCGACATGAAAGGCGCTCTATAAATGTAATTTTGTTATTGTTATAATTAAAGTCCCCCATTATCACTACTCTATTGGTTTCACATCGTTCTGAAATCTGCTTGTAGATTTGCTCGTCTATCTCCTTCTATAGTAAATACCTAACAGAGTAACAGCTCCTTAACTGCAACCAAATAGATTGTGTTGTTGGACACTATAGCACATCGTCCCTTTCCAAGGCCGTAACTGTGTCTTTAATCAATATTGCCCCCAACCCCCTCCATTTTCCCTTCCCTATCCCTCCTGAGTACATCGTAGCCGGGATATTCAGCTCCCACTCCTGCCTTGTTTGAGCCAGGCCTCTGTTATTGCCACTACATCATAACCCCATGTGGTAACTCGAGCCACAGCTCACCAAGCTTATTTGTCACACACTGTGCATTTACACACATTCACTCCAAGACCAACTTATTCTGCATTTCTCCCCCATCCAATCCCTCCTTTTTCTGGATTACTCCTTATTACATTGCTATTTGTCTCTCCCAACTCTCTATATAACTTGTTCCTCTAATGCTCATCCTGATTCCCTCACCCCTCAAAATTAGTTTAAACCTTATCCACAGCACTAGTTAACCTCCCTGCGAGGACATTGGTCCCAGCCCTGTTCAGGTGTAACCCAACCACCTTGAACAGGTCCCACCTGCCCCAGAACTAGTCCCAATGTTCCAGAAACCTGAAGCCCTCCTTTCTGCACCATTTCTCCAGCCATGCATTCATGTGTTTGATCCTCCTGTTTTGATACTCACTTGCACGAGGCACTGGGAGTCATCCAGAGATCACCACCTTTGAGGTCCTACTCTTTAGCTTTTTCCTGAGCTTCTGATACTCTCCCTGTAGGACCTCAGCCATTTTTTTCCCTATGTCATGGATCCCAACATGGACCACGACTTCTGGATGTTCCCCTTCCCCTATAGAATGTTTTGCACTCATTCCATGATGTCTTCAACCCTGGCACCAGGGAGGCAACATACCATGCAAGAGTCACGTCTTTGGTTGCAGAAATACCTGTCTACTCCTTTCACTATTGTGTCCCCAATGATATTTGCATTGACACTCTCCCCTGTGTCCCCCTGTGCATCTAATTGCTTTTGACTCCCCTCCCCAGAGGTGTCATCACTCTCACTGGTATAATTTCCCTCTCAGCACTGAATTCCCATTCTCACCAAGTTCATTAACAGAATTCTCCTTCCATTCCCTCCTCACGCTGCTGGGCTCTCTGCTCAAGTGAGGCTCTCGCCAGTCTTCCCTTTTATTTTGGACTTAAACAAAAGCACCCAGTTTCGACTGGTCAGCAAATGTATTGATCTGCAACACCTGGCCTGTGATTAACTGCTAATTGACTTATTTGTCTACTTACATATAATGTCGCCTCTACCTCATCAAAGATTTCCTACTCTTCTGCTGAATGAAAAAGTTCTCTCTTGCTCTCTGGTGTCTCTCTTGCTGAAGAATTCCCACTCTCATCAAACTCCTTAACAGAATTCTCACTCTGTTCCACCTCACTCAGTTGCCTCCTGGCGCTGTTGGGCTCTCTGCTCCAATCACTGAGCAACAGATTAAAGAGCAATTCATTTACATTTCAATCCAGGGAAAGGAATATCTCGAGAGGCAGAGAGTGTGTCATGTCCAGATATACAGACTTGATGGCCACCGAGTGTTGGTTGCTCTGATGGCTCTATGGTCTGGGGGTGTGATTGTGGCTTCAAGCCCCTTTTCAGGGGCTTTGAGCTCAGAATTTAGGCTCAAACTTTTATCAGGAGATTGGAAGAGAGAAGGCAGTTTCTCCCATTGTCCTGGCCAACAATCCTCCAGATTATTTGCTCATTCACTTAGTGGCTGTGGGTGATTTTAAATACAGTCACTGCACTTACAACCAGTCCCTGGGAAATGCTTTGAGATGTTTTGTGTTGTGTTGTGCACTCAGGATTAGAGGGCAGAAAACATGGTGAGAGTGAGACACAATGACCAACATAGCAAGGCGGGGGTGGGGGGTGAGTGTGTCACAGTGAAGAGCACACCCAAGTGCTCACACACACACTCACAGCAGATGTTTCCTGTTTGCATGGACGACCCCGTTTCCTCCACACGGTACCTCAATCTCAGCACTTTCTCTGGAAATGATGAGGTTTGTTATTTCACATCCCCTTTTCTCAGTCAGAATCTCCCCGGGGCTTGTGGTTAGACTCAGGTACCTGACGCATCATCACCTGATGCTTGTCCAGTGACCTGACACGTGTGTGTGTGTGTGAGTGAGTGTGTGTGAGAGCTCTGAGATGCCACCCTACATAGTCGCTATGTAGTGCAACCTGTTGTGTTACTGTGAATGTGTGTGAGCGTGAGAGTTTGTGTGAGCGTGTGTCCACTGGTCAGTTCCGCATTCTTCATGTGCAGTGGGTTCACTGGGATGTGATGATTAACACCCATTTCTTCCTAACCCATGTTGTTACCCGTTGTTTGTGTGTTGCGTGAGTGTTTGTGTGTGTGCATGAGTGTGTGTGTGGAGTGTGAGTTGGTACAGAGTGTGCATGAGTGAAGAGTGTGCTGCTGCTGTGAGTAATAATAGTAATAATCCTTGCATTTGATATAGCACCATACCACGTTGTTGAGACATTTCAAAGCGCTTCATAGAATATGCTGTAAAGTGCAGTGACTGTGTATTTTGTGGGTGAAATGTGGCAGCCAATTTGCTCAAAGCAGCCAGAGAGCGAGTGACCACTTCTATTTGAGGGACTGCTGTCCAGGAGAACGGGAGGGAGAGAGAAACTACCTTCTCTTTTCCAATAGCCCCGCAGGATCTTTAACATCCACCTGAACAGGCAGACGGGACCTCGGTTTAACATCTCATCCAAAGGACAGCACCTCCGACAATGCAATGGCCCCCAGTGCTGCATTGGGGCGTCAGCTAAGACCGTGTGATTCCAAGACCTGACGTGGGGCTTGAACCCACAACCTTCTCACTCAGAGGCGAGAGAGAGCGCCACCACTGTTCCAGGCTGAATAGTTTGTGTAAACATCTGTGTGTGAGCAGTGTATGTACATCTGTGTGTGTGCAGACACTGTGTGTATCTCTGTGTGTGTGCAGACAGTGTGTATATCTGTGTGCGCGGAGTGTGTATAACTGTGTGTACGGGGACAGAGAGTGTATCTGAGAGACATTCAGGTATGTTAAAAACTCAGCATTTATTTTGACTCGAAAGCTAAAGCAGCTTCTTGTTAAAATTGATGATAATTGAAAGCCAAAAATCTCTAAAATAAGCGGAAAATTAGTGATCAGAACAAACCCAGCGCTGGTCAGCCAATCAGGGACCGGGGGCAGAATCCTCCACATGTCTGTCTGTCTGTCTGTCTGTCTGTGTCTGTCATTGACTGTCAGACACGAGTCTCCTGTGGTTCACGTGTGATTGAAACACAGCAGGAGCCCGGCTGTGTTGTGCTGTTGTGGGAAGGGCGAGTGGATTCCAGACCCACAGAGTCTCCCCCTCAGGAGCCCCCACTTAGCTCATTGTGTCTGTGCCGTGTCTTTTAAGAGGAAACCTTTCATTCCTGTTGACCTGCTCTTCCATCCCCCCCTCAAGAGGGGTTTAATCACCTGCACAATTAATTCCCCCCCCCCCAGCCCCCCCCCCACCTGACACCGGGGACGTCAGCCCTGAGATAGAACAGTCGTGTTGGACTGGGAGGGTAGGGTTGGGGGGACTGAGCATTCCTGACTCCATTTTCTCCTCAACATTTAAAGTGTCCTCCCCAACTGGTTCTCAGTTCCTCTGGAAACTACCTACATCAAACACGTGGGACCCATGTTTTCCCCACCCCAGAGGTGACCACAGCTTCTGCTCCGAGCACACAGACACAGACACAGAGCTGAGCTCAGCCTTCCCCCCCCCACCCCCACCCCCATGGTCAATGCAAACACCAGCGCAGAGTGCGAGCACCTCAATGCTCTCCCCCTGTTCAGTGAGTGTCCGTCAGTCACAGCTGACCTTGTCCTGGCAACCAGAGACTTGGATGATCAGAGGCCAGAACATGAGAGGTTTTTTTATGATGTTTTATTTCTGGTGACGGGGTTTATTGCTGAGTTGGTGGCCATCTCAGCTTGGGTTTGGAGGCTCTTAAGCACAGTAATTGATGGGTTTCCACACCTGTCAGACCCCCAAACCTTCCCCAAGCTCAGTAACTTTAACCCCCACACAAAACCCCACCACCCCAACAAAACATCCAGCGTAGACCCCACCCCAAAAAAACAAGTAACGTAAAAAAACAGAAACAGCGGTTTAGCAAATTGATTATTGATTAAAAAAAGGGAACTGAACAATAACAGCCGTCAGAGCGGTGGGGGGCACGAGGTTTGTGGGCGAGGGGTGTGTGTGGGGAGAGGGGGCCGGGGGGGAGGGTGTGGGCACGCAGGAGGGAGGGAGGAAACAATGTCAACTGAACTCAAAGGGGCAAAAATTCGTACTTTAAAGATCAGCAAAGAATCTAAACGGTGGAACCTGAATTATTTTTGTGTAAATTAACTGAGGTGACCTGTGGGGGGTGAGGGAATGGGGGGAGGGGACAGGAGGGGGGGTGGGGGGTTAGCGAGGTGACAGGGGAGGGGGGTCTCGGCAGGCTGTTTATTGTTCGGTTCGGATCATTCGCTGGTTTTGCTAAAGTTTATTTTTCAACAAATCAGTAAAAAAGCGATTATGGTGCAGTTACGGTTATTGCTGTCAGCAGCTCCCAGCGAAGCTCCCAGTGACGGCCTCGACTGCTTTAGTTTCCTGCAACACAAAACATGTTCAGATGAACTGGGTTTATTACAAACCCTCACGTTAACAGCCCTGCCCTCGGCCACTGGCCACTGACTGGGGCTGTGCACGGCTGGGCCCTCTGTGTGTGTATATGCGTGTGTGTGTGCATGTGCATGTATATGTATGTGTGAGTTTGTGTGTGTGTGGCTGATGTACTGCAGTGCGGGGACTGTGTGGACTGTAACTGCCCCTTATTCAGTGCCTTGGGACGTCCTCCCAAAGTGAAAGGCACTTTACAAATGCAATTTTGTTGTTGTAACAATGGAGCTGGCGAGCAAGTGACTAAGGGAGTGAGGGAGTGAGTGACTGAGGGAGTGAGCGAGCAAGTGACTGAGGGAGTGAGCGAGCAAGTGACTGAGGGAGTGAGGGAGTGAGTGACTGAGGGAGTGAGTGTGAGGGAGTGAGGGAGTGAGCGAGCAAGTGACTGAGGGAGTGAGCGAGTGAGTGACTGAGGGAGTGAGCGAGCAAGTGACTGAGGGAGTGAGGGAGTGAGCGAGCAAGTGACTGAGGGAGTGAGGGAGTGAGCGAGTGAGTGACTGAGGGAGTGAGGGAGTGAGCGAGCAAGTGACTGAGGGAGTGAGGGAGTGAGCGAGCAAGTGACTGAGGGAGTGAGGGAGTGAACGAGCAAGTGACTGAGGGAGTGAGGGAGTGAGCGAGTGAGTGACTGAGGGAGTGAGCGAGCAAGTGACTGAGGGAGTGAGGGAGTGAGCGAGCAAGTGACTGAGGGAGTGAACGAGCAAGTGACTGAGGGAGTGAGGGAGTGAGCGAGCAAGTGACTGAGGGAGTGAGCGGGTGAGTGACTGAGGGAGTGAGCGGGCGAGTGACTGAGGGAGACGTTACTCACAGTCAATCAGGCCGGAGGTCCGCGGCTCCTCGGACTCTGTGTAACCTGACAACCAGAGAGAGAAGGTCAGACACCATGAGGAAGGGAGTCGAGCCAGAGAACAGCTGACAGGCACGAGGGGAGAGGGGTGGGGGGGGCGGTGGAGGGGAGAGGGAGTGTGGGGCAAAGGGGAGGAAGAGGGGGGAGAGGAGGGAGGAGGAAGAGAGTGGCGGGAGGGGGGAGAGCAGCCAGCTGCCCAGGGTAAGCAGGAGGTGAGAGAGACCGTCTGACTCAGAGCGGAGAAGCAAACATAGCGAACAGGACACTGGCCACAGAGACAACAACGACAACTTGCATTTATACAGTGTCCTCTATACAGGGCAGCGTCTCAGAGCGCTTAACAGTGGCGGAGCCTGGCAAGCACCCTTGCCACCTCCTCCTGACCGCCCTCACCCCCTCCTCGTCCTGCCCCCCCTCGTACCCTCCTCCTGCTCCCCCCTCATCCCCTCCTCCTGCTCCCCCCCTCGTCCCCTCCTCCTGCCCCCCTCGTCCACTCCTCCTGCCCCCCCTCACCCCTCCTCCTGACCCCCCTTTTCCCCTCCTCCTGCCCTATTCCGTCCCCTCCTCCTGTCCCCCTCTCCCCTCACTGTGTGGTGATGATTGTGACCTACGTTGGCAGTGCAGCCGTTGCCCGCGGACGCGGGTGCCAGGGATCTCAGTGCCGTCCGGCTTGACACACCAGCAGTAGCCGGAGCTGGCATGGCACTGCTCTGCCGTGTAGTCACCAGCCTTGTCACAGGTCGGCTCATAAACACCCGGCATCAGCTTGATCCTATCACGCTCTCGCTGGCAGTTTGTCTTGGCGGGAACCACTGGGCGGAGAGGAGGCGTGCGAGGGAGTGTGAGACACGGAGAGCAACGTGTGATAATAATAATAATGATGTCTTTGAGACGTCTCAAAGCGCTTCACAGCATAGACTGTAAAGTGTAGTGACTGTGTATTTTGTGGGTGAAACGTGGCAGCGTCCCCACAACCAGCCGTGGATTGAGTGGGCAAATTATTATTGTTTCTTTTTTTTGAGGGATTATTACCCCCAGAAAAGCAATCCGCCAATCGACTAACAACCGGGTTCCTACTGACCGCCGGTAAACAGAGGAGCGTGGAGTAAGGAAACTTGCCCAACATTGTGTGCGAGCGGAGAGCGCGCGAGGGGAGTGTGAGACAGTCCGTGGGCAAGACGTTTATGAGAGTTTGGGCCCAGATCGAAAGTCCATCTCCCATCTCCAGCCGCTCACATCACTCTCCCGAGGCTCCGAACAGTGAGTCCCATTGTCCAGGATCACATCCCAAATGCCAGGAGTGCAGGGAGTGAGCACCAGTCACTCCCTCATTAATCCCATCCCTATCACTGTGTCTGCCCAAGATCCCAGTCCCACAGACCGTGACCTGCTCATTTGTTAGGGGACCTGGGAGTGGCGGGGTGAGTGAGGGGATGGTAGTGAGTGGGGGAGTGGCAGTGGGGGGGGGGGGTGAGTGATGGCAGTGGGGGGGGGGGGTGAGTGATGGCAGTGAGTGGGGGTGAGTGAGGGAGTGGCAGTTATCAGAAGGGAGTGTGTGCCAGTGGCCAGTGAATGCTGTGCCAGCCTGGACTCCATACCTTTTACCAACTTCATCTCCTCCTCAGGCTTGACGGTGCTTTGGTCATTGGTGTCGAGGGCCATTGGCTTGAACATCATACTGGAGATCATCTTCCTTCCTGCACCTGTAACATGGCAACTGTCAGAGACAAGACAGGAGCAGCCAACTCCCAACCCGCCCACACCCCCACCCCTAACCCACCTGCACCCCAACTCACCCACACCAAAACCCACCTACACCCCAAGCCACCTACAACCCAACCCACCTACACCCCACATCTTCAGTTAGTTAGGCAATCACTGCACGGACACACACTTCATAGTGGGGGGAAAGGGGAAGGAGTGTGGCAGAGAGGGGTGAGAGCGAGGGGGTGTGTAGCTGAGAGGAGTGAGGGTGTGGGGGGAGGGGGGGAGTGGGAGCGAGGGTGTGTGTGGCCGAAGGGGAGTGTGGCTGAGGGGAGTAAGGGTATGTTGGGGGAGGTGGGGGGGTGAGTGAGAGCGAGGGGGAGAGTGAGAGGGCCAAGAGAGTGTGGCTGAGGAAGAGTGTCTGTGGTAAGATGTCCTACCTCGGGGTTTGTGCCATGGGGCGATGGTGGAGCTGATTTTCTGCTGCTGTTCCTGGATCAGTTGGAACATAAGCCAGTTGCGCAGCCAAGTCTCAAACTCCTGCACAGAAAACAATGGTCATTAAAGTCTGTGAAGAGAGAGAGAGAGGTCGGGGGAAGGTGTTGGGACAGAGCCCTCACTGTCATCAGCAGCGCATCTCTCACCCTCCACATGGGCTCCTCCACGTTCTCACGCAGGGTCCTCAGGTTACTGAACAGGGTCCCCTTGAACTTCGGCAATTCCTGGGTCAAGTTCTCTTTCTGAGGAGCAGAAACACAGAGAGTAAGCGACAACAACAGCAGACCCCAAACCCAGCCCCCCAACACAGCCCTGAGCCCTTCCGGCACCAACCCCCAGCCCCAACCCTGGCCCTAACACGGCCCCCAAACCCCAGCCCCATCCCCTGGCTCAGCTCCCCAACCCCAGCCCCCCAGCACCCAGACCCAGCCCTTCCCCCAAACCCCAGCACAGCCCCCACCTGCCCCCTCAGTCCCGGCCCCCTCAGATCCTGCCCCCTGTCCCGCTCACCTTCAGCAGCTCCTCGACCTCTTGCATCAGCGTGAGGGGCGGTGCTGGGGTCGGGGTCTTCTCCTGTGAAACAACGACAGATGATAACTGGCTGAGTGTGGAGCAGGGTGGGGTCAGGCAGGGTTGGCGGGGGTGGTGGAGATCACGGTAACCAGCGCGCTTTGTCTCACCGAGCGCCTGTTGTGCCTTCGTGCCCCCCCACCCCTCCCCGGATGATGGATGGCGCAGCCAGGCAGGCGGACACAGAGACAGGAGTTTCCTCCACCCCCTCCCATACCCCTTCACCCCCCACTCCACAGCTCATACCTTTGGTGCCTCGGGCTCGGGGAGGTCATACATCATCGGCATGTTCATCATTGGCCGCAGGCGGATGGTGGTTTTGGGTTCTGCACAGAGAAGAAACTCATCACCTTCAGCCCAAACCTCCCCCAATCCCACCTCCCCAGCCCTCTCTCAGCTCGGGGGCAAAACCCCTCATTGTCTAGTCCCTGGGCCGTCCCCCCCGACATGAAAAGCGCTATGTAAACGCAAATGTTGTTGTTGTTATAATAATAGTAATCCTTGCATTTGATGTAGCATCGTCCGAGACATCTCAAAGCACTTCAAAGAATATACTGTAAAGTGTAGTGACTGTGTATTTTGTGGGTGAAATGTGTTGTTGTGTGGCCGGTTGGGGAACAGTGTGCCCTGCTGTGTGGGTGACGTACTGGCCGGGGGAGCGGAGTTCTTGTTCTGGATCTCAGTGGTAGTTTTCTGCAGGTCAGTGATCTTGTCCTGTTGTTTCATGAGGAACATGACACTGACCACTTGGCCAGCGATGAGCAGGACTCCCAGGATTGTCACACCGGTCCACATGAGGCCCCGGGAACAGCTTCCGCCACCGCTGTGGGGAACAGAGATAATAATAATAATCCTTATATTTGATTTAGCCCCTTATCATCATTGAGAGGTTTCAAAGCGCTTTACTGTATATACTGTAAAGTGTAGTGACTGTATTTTCTGGGCGAAACGCAGCGGCCAATTTTGACACGGACAAATGGTCATTGTTTGGTAATCCCTAATGTGCCCACATCTCATCCCCGTCTCTCTCTCTCCCTCTCTCTCTCTCGGTCTCTGTCAAAATCTCTCTGGTTTCTACTCTATCTACAATCTTCCTGTGAGCTTCCACGTTCTGTTCCTCCCAAACTCCAAACCTCTCCTCCCTCTTCCCGGTGTCCTTCACTGGTTTGAAATAAAATTTTAGCCTCACCATCTCTCCCTCTACCTCATTCTAACCTCCCTCCCCCCATCTCCCACCCGCACACCCACACCCAGCCGCAGACTTGGTGTCAACTAACCACCAAACCAACAATTGTATAATGCACAGATCAGTCAAGGAATCTGACACCAATGTTGGTTGGAATCCAACACCACACACTAAGCTGTGACTCTGGGCGGACATTACCATAATGCTTCTAACCTGAGCCCCCAGACCCCAGGAGAACAAACCCTGAACATAGGAGCAGGAGGAGGCCATTCACCCCCTCGAGCCTGTTCTGCCTTTCTATTAGATCATGGCTGATCTGTACCTCAGCTCTAATTACCCGCCTACGATGCCCAGTATCCCCCGATACCCTGACCTCACACTGTACCAGTGGATCTTCCCCACTGAGACCACATTGAGGTGACGATGATCTCAGGCAGCCGCCCACAGAGCCAGGAGTCTGAAGGCAAACACAGACCCGGGTTGTGGGTGGGGGGGGGGGGGCTCTTGCCGGCTCATTGCATCTCACTAACCGGCCATGTTTGTTTCAACAACAAAATAATAATAATAATCCTTGAATTTGATATAGCAGCTTATCATGTCGTTGATGATACTGTAGAGTGTAGTGACTCTATATCGTTTGTGGGCAAAACAGAGCAGCCAATTGCGCACAGCAGTGTCCCTCAAACAGCCGTGGATTGAGTTACCATCTTCTGACCGAGAGACCGAGAGGGAGTTTAGGAGGATTTTGGAGGCGGAGGGAGGGATTTCCATCTACACCCTGTGAAGGTCCCTGAGTGACTAAGTCAGGGCTTTAGGATTCCCCTCTCTGATTATTGTCCAAAGACCCCCCTCCTCCAGTGTGCAGCGCTGTGTGGGGTCGGGATTGGGGCTTTCCCCCCGAGGGTAATAACCTGCCAACATACTGAGGATCACCTGCTTTATAATCCATAACAATGTGTAAAAGAATGGGAAAATCTAACAAGTAAATAATTAAAAAGAATGAAGAAATAGAAAGGGAATGAGATAAGAGTACAGCTTAATGGTTTTAATGGGGAGTGAGCACCAGTAGACACGATGGGGAGAGAGAGGGAGAGCAGGGAATGGGGTTAGAGTCGAGAGCTCCAGTGGGGGCGCGAGCCCCAGCACAGACACGATGGGGAGAGAGAGAGAGACCAGGGAATGGGGTTAGAGTAGAGAGCTCCAGTGGGGGAGCGAGCCCCAGCACAGACACGATGGGGAGAGAGAGAGAGCAGGGAATGGGGTTAGAGAGCTCCAGTGGGGGAGCGAGCCCCAGCACAGACACGATGGGGAGAGAGAGAGAGAGCCAGGGAATGGGGTTAGAGAGCTCCAGTGGGGGAGCGAGCCCCAGCACAGACCCGATGGGGAGAACAGACCGATTTCAGTTTGTTCGATATTGCTATCTGCTTCTCTGTGACCGTGACCTTGTTACTGTCCAAGGGATCAGGAAACAGAGGGTATTCACACAAAAAACTTTATAAACAATAATAATAATTATTGCATTTGCTATCGTGCCTCATCAAAGCGCTCCACAAAATATACTGTAAAGTGTAGTGACTGTTTATTCTGTGGGTGAAACGCCACAGCCAATTGCGCAGATAACAAACCGCGTAAAACGGTGCGAAAGCCGATACCTGTTCTGACCGCGAGCAATGCTGGGCTCGGTGGTGCCGGTGCTGATGCTGTCCTGACTGTGGTTCAGGAGGGTGCTTTGCTGCTCGTCAGCCATCCTTGCGATCTGGGCTGCAAACAGTGAGATTGACCGCTGACCCGCTCTGCTGTGAAATAGGCTGTGCGACACCCTGATGCTCACTCTTGTACTGAACAGAGGCGTCAACACATTCAGACCAAGACTGCAGCGACCAACGAAAAAAGGAAGTTGGCTCCGGCGAACTGTGGAAAGTCCCCACCTTAACTACGCACTATACACCAACTGTGAATATAAGCAGCAGCATCCACAGGCTGTCACAGGGCTCCTCATCCACCTCCTCCTTCTGAAGGTGTCTATTGTTTCAGCTTCAACAGCCTTTATGATGGTAATGAGTTCCACAGTATAATAACAATCCTGGCGTTTGACACAGCGTCCCATCACGTCTTCGAAACGTCTCAAAGCGCTTCACAGACCACACTGTAAAGTGAATTGTTTGTGTTTTGTGGGTGAAGTGTGCCACATTGTCGAAACGTTGCAAAGCGCTTCACAGGATTTACTGCAGAGTGTAGAGACTGTGTATTTGTAGGCAAACCCGTCCGCCAATTTATCATATCATGATCAAAGATCCCACGTCTATTCGAAAAGAGAAGGGAGTTTCTCTCTGTCTCCTGCTGTGCTGGTCAACAATCCCCCCAAAGTGGTCACTCACTCCATGGTTTGTGGGATATTGCTGTGCGCAATAGGCTCCCTCATTACACTCACAAATACAGTCACTACACTTTACAGCGTATCCTATGAAGCGCTTTGATCCGGCTCAATGATGTGATAAGGCACTAACTGTATTAAATGCAAGGATTATTATTACAGTATTATTATGTTCAATGTCCCGCAAACAGCCATGGAGTGAACAAGCATTTTATTTGGAGGATTGTGGGCTGCGAACACCAGGAGAAACTCTTCTTCTCTACCTGTGCCAGTGTGACAGCGCCTTTAAACACCCCAAACCCCCATTGCAGTTGGTGTGAGAGCTTCACTCTCACTGATATCCTATAACCCACAGCCCCTGAGTCAGGGCGAGCTACACACAGTAAAATCAGGTCCAAAAAACTGAACAGAACTGAAGTCCTCTCCCCAGTAACCAGTGAGTCACAAGCAGCACCCGGGCAGATTGGTGGCTCACTCTGGGATTAGACATTGATTCACAACGTGATTGTGTTTGTGTGTTTGCGGTTGAGGACAACCAGCGATTTGGAGGGTGGGGAAGGTCGGTGCTCGGTTCAGCGATGAGCTTTGCATAACAGTGATGTTATACAGTCGCTGCCTGGATCCACTGGGGGAGGAGATAATAATAACAATAATAATCCTTGCATTTGATACAGCACCTTATCACGTCTTCGAGACTTCTCAAAGCGCTGCACAGAATACACCGTAAAGTGTAGTGACTGTGTGCGTTGTGGGAGAAACGTGGCAGCCAATTGCGCACATCAGCGTCCCATGAACAGTCGTGGATTGAGTGACCAAATTATTATTTTTTTGGAAGGGATTATTACCCCCGGAAAGTGATCCGCCATCGACTAATAAGCGGGTTCCTCCTTAACAGCCTACGGTTTCGCCCTGACCCGCCCGGGATGGGTTCAGTAGGTACAGCGCTGAAGGTCCAGGTGTCCAAACTGCCCAGAGCCCCTTAGCCTGGAACTATGTGGATCTGGGACCTGCTCCCCACCCCACCCCCCAACATCGACAAGAGGATGATGTGTGGGGAAAGGCATTGGATGTTGTCAATGTCCACCTGCCTCACCATGACCACAGGCTACAAGAGGAAGTGAGCTGGGGAAGGACTTCCCGGTACTTGCCTCTGAGAGTCTGAGGTACGCGAAAACAGTGTCTGATCTAGAAACATCTGCCCAACAACTGGAGTATCAGCGCACACACACCATGGCATTGGCTAAACACTTTCCCCCATTGAGGGCGGCTGTTACAGGTCACACTGCCCACTGGTGGCAACCAGAGACATTACACAACCACAAGAGTAGGCTATTCAGCCCCTCGAGCCTGTTCCACCATTCTATTCTATAAGACCATGGCTCATCTGTATCTCAACTCCAATTACCCCCACTTGCCCCGTATCCCTTAATACCCCGGCCTAACAAACCTCAGTCTTGAATAGATTCAGCCATAATCCACAGCCTTTAGAAATCCCCTCATTATCGTAAAAACCTCAATCATACACAAAAATAATCCGACTTTCACGGTAACGGGGTCCAAATCCCAGGATTTAAAATGTGTCAGTATCAAAATGGAGTCTGCTCAGGCACACATTTCTCATCGCGGCCATTGGTTTGGAAATTTGATCTGCAGGTTACTAACAAAACATTGGGCAAGTTTCCCTGCTCCACGTCTGTTTACCGAGCAGTAAGTAGTAACCCGATTGTTATAGTCAATTGGCGCGTCCCTTTTCTGGCTAATTGGCTAACAATCCCTTAAAATTTTGGTCAATCGCACGAGTGTGTGTGGGACACTGCTGTGCACAATCGGCTGCCGTGTTTCACCCACAAAAATAGAGGCAATTCACTCTACAGTATTTTCTGTGAAGCGCTTTGAGACCTCTCGATGAGTCGCTGTACCAAATGCAAGCATTATTATTATAACAGCTTGCATTTATATAGGGCCCCTCACCCAGGGCAGCGTCCCCGAGGGCTCAGGACAGAAGACAAGGAGTATGGCTTCCATCTTGCCAACATGTTATCAGGAAACACCGCAAAATAGAGCCCAACACGGTCAGAATTGTTCATTGCATTAAAATGGTTTCATCACCTGGTTCCCCTGTGCATTCACAATGCACTGCTGCCCTCTGCCGGTCAAAGATCTCCATGAGCGTCTGGGTTCTCAGCAGCTCAGTCCCTGCTCTTGTGCTGTTGGTCGTCACGGTCATTGGTTTAGAATGGTCAGGAACCAATGACCAAGTTTGTGTTAAAGAGTTCAGTGATTCCGTGGACTCATTTACGTCTACACTGGTCTGATCTCTGCTGGGACGTGTTCTGGGCCTGCGGTGGACTTTCACTGCGACCCGCGTGGTTGGGGGGGAAGAGCAAGTGAATTAAAAAGACCAACACAATGTTGGCGTTTCTCACACGGGGCCGGTTTACAAGTCAGGAAGCGATGTAACACCTGGTGAGACTTCAATTGGAGTATTGTGTGCAAGTTTAGGCACTGAACCGCAAGAAGGATATATTGGCCTTAAGCGTGTGCGCAGCGGCGATTTACTGGAATACTTCCTGATGTCAAAGGCCTAATTTATGCTGAAAGTATGGAAAAACTGGGATTGTATTCTCTCTCTCTCTCGAGTTCAGGTTGAGGGGTGGTCTGATCGAGGTGTGCAACATAATGAAAGGTTTTGGCAGGTTTCATAGTGAGCAATCGTTTCCAGTGAGAAAATTGATGAACGGAGGCCAATCTTAAATTGAGGCTAAACTGTTTAGAAATGAAACGAGGAAACATTTTTCACAGCTGGCAGTGGGAGGGTGGCGTTCTCTCCCCCAGAGGTACAGCGCAGCCCACCCCAATACTACAATCCAACCGCACCCCCCACCCACCCCCACTCAGGTCTCCAGGCTGACCCAGGCCTCCTCAGCAGGTACACAGAACTAGACCAACCAGCACTGGGATGTTTCACTTCCCTTTTATTGAAAGGATTTTAGAACCCAAACCCTGAAACCGGATGGCATTGGGGCAGGCGACAACAGGCTGAGGCTCTCAGCGCACAGACACACCAGAGACCCTGTCAAAACCTCACAGTCTGGCTTGCAAGCCAACAAACCGCTCCTCCCATCGTTTTGCAATGTAAATCTGCTCAGTGATTCCACCAAAAAAAGTCTGGAGCTCACAAACAGGTTTAGTTTAGGGCAAAAAGCAAAATACTGCAGATGCTGGAAACCTGACCCCAAAACAGAATTGTCTGGGAACAGCAGCACCCACTTTCCTCTCCGTAGCTGCTGCCTGACCTGCTAAGTGTCCCCAACCACTTCCATTTATTTTAGGCCGTTCACCCACAAAGCAGTCAATTCATGTGACGAGACACAAGGCGCTATATCAAACGCTAGGATTATCATCTGCTTCCCTGCTACCAACCAACCCCACCTGCTCCAGATTGCGAAGCTCATTGTAGCCAGGCTGCCCAACGCTCAGAGTGAGATCAGTTTTCACCCACACCCCACCTCCCCCCCAGGGGTCCTGTGAGCGCGTGTACGTGACCAAGCGTCCCTGGCGGCCGTGACAGCGAGGCCGACAGGGATAGTAGGAAGCGAGTTGCTGTTGGCAGGGGGAACGACAGCACAGCACCACACAGCCATGTTGTAACTTATCCTGCACCTCAGCGCGGCTCAGCCTCGGGGGGGGAAGAGGGAGGCCGGACAGGAGTGAGTGGCAGCGATCAATCAGGGCTCCAATCAGTGTCTGTCTGCCTCTCTGATAGACATCTCATTTTTGACAGGTGATGAAACAGAAGCTTCTGAGGTCTAATCGCTCATCACATCCAACATCAACTGCTTAACCAGACGCCACATTAATGTGGAGTGCGCAGGCCGCCACTGCTTAAGCTTTTGAATCCTGTGAGAATCAATACCCACCCCCCCCCCCTCCCACCCCACCACCCACCGTGACTGAGACAGCATCGTGTGTGCATCCCCCGCTGGTTATAAACCATCCTGGCTGCAGTAGGTACCACAGTGAACGCAGAGCGAGGGATTGCCAGACGGCAGAGAAACCAGCCCCAGCCGATCAGTAAAATACCTTTATTGGTTACCGACATGAACAGAAACAAGGTTTACAATCGTCGACCGCGTCGACCGCCCTTTCTGCGGGTGCTGTCTGACGGGATGGGAGTCACGTCCTCTGCAAGAGAAGAAATCAGAGTCACATACACTCAGCCCCGGGTTACACACACTCAGTCCCGGGTCACACACACTCAGTCCCGGGTCACACACACACAGCAGGTACTGCCCACTGGATACAGAGGAACAGAGCTGCGGGTTTGTTTATTCCCGTTGCTGCCCTCAGTTGTGTTTGTTCCCGCTACAGGCGCTCTGAGACGCTGCCCCCGCATGAAAGACACCATATAAATACAAGTTGTTGCCCTCAGACACGTCCCTCGGGGGAGGGGGTTTAAGGTTGTAACCAGATTGGCTGCTGGACAAGTTGTCTTTGGGGATCAGTCACTGCGTCTTTCTGAATTGTGGCTGTATTGTTGGTGTTAGATTCAGACTAACAGTTTCACACCCAACCCCACCCCCAGAAACTTACTGAGCTCTCCCCCCCCACCCACCGACACTGACTGAACCCCCCGGGGCCCTGTGAGCGTGTGTTCGTGACCAAGCGTCCCTGGCGGCCGTGACAGCGAGGCTGACAGGGATAGTAGGAAGCGAGTTGCTGTTGGCAGGGGGAACGACAGCACAGCACCACACAGCCATGTTGTAACTTATCCTGCACCTCATCGCGGCTCAGCCTCGGGGGAGAGAGGCCAACACACAACCTCGAGGGGTCAGTGCCCACATGTGAGGAGCTCAGACACAGAGTGGCCCAGCACAGGGCACCCAGTCCAGGACAGTGAGATCTGTTGAGTGCTTACGCCTCTGGCACTGCCCCCAACAGCTGCCCGTTGCTTATGTGCCAAGCGGGTCTGGAGGCCGGAGTCTCACATCAAAGACACGCCACAGTGAGACTAACAGCTGAGCTTGCAACACCCACAGTCACGGTGTAATCACCAATAGTCACAATCCTTACCAATGCGGCCGATCTTCATACCGGACCGAGCCAGAGCTCTCAGGGCCGACTGAGCCCCAGGTCCTGGGGTTTTGGTTCTAGAGAAAAACAGAAGCCATTTTACACACAGCCATTCACTCCAGCGTGCACGAGAGGACAGGCAGGGACCCTATCATCCTCCCCACACCCCCTCCCGAGTAATGTCAGTCAGTGACAGACAGACAGATTGGTTGGGGGCCACTTGGGGGAAAGAAACGTGCTTCTGGTGACAGACAATCCAGGGTTACAAATCCTGCTATCCCCAAACCCAGGGCGGTGATCACACCAGGAGGGTTAGACAGCTCAGTGCTATAACGACGAATGAGATCATTGCCCGCTCTGGTCAGTGAGAGGCCATTCAGCCAAGCCCTGACTAGGCAGGGGGTCGGAGCTGGCTCTACCCATCCACAAGGCCTGGTGATGCCGGAAAAGTACAGTAAGTGGCCATTTGCATGTCACTGCTCCACACCTTTCTCGGCAAACTTTCAAATCAAACCTTTACCTCTGTACATCCCCCCCACCCAGAGTCAGCACACTGGCTGTCTGCCCTACATTGTGATGAGCTGAGGTCCAACCAGCGATTCTCTCCCCTCTGGGAAGACATTGCAGCCTCCACTCAGATCCCATCAGTACTTCAGAGAGATTGAGCCCCACCCTACCCCCCCCCCACCAGCGCCAGGGGGAGGGTGGGGACCGTGTTCGTGACCAAGCGTCCCTGGCGGCCGTGACAGCGAGGCCAACAGGGATAGTAGGAAGCGAGTTGCTTTTGGCAGGGGGAACGACAGCACAGCACCACACAGCCATGTTGTAACTTATCCTGCACCTCAGCGCGGCTCAGCCTCGGGGGAGAGGCCGGACACAACACTGTTTTGTATAGATACTAGTTGCACTGAGACAAAAACACTTTACCCTAACTGCTGCTAAGTGTGGTAACTATCTGTGGGTTAACACGGCAGCCAATATGGGGGTGAAAGACCAATTTATTTGGTGTGGGGGGAGATTGTCAGCCAGGGCACCAGGAGAGAGAAACTCCCATCTCTTCTCCAGTCGTGACATGGGATCATTGTTAAATAATAAACAATTAATGGAATCAGAGTTGCCATAACCCTGACAGAACAGGGTCAGAACCATGGCTCGTGAACACTGATGTTGTAGAAAGTCTCTCACTCGGATACTAACTGTACCACACACCACCCCCCCCACCCCCTCCCCCCCAGAGAGACCAGCCAGTGTTGCCAGCCTCACCTGTTGCCCCCAGTGGCTCGCAGTTTGATGTGCAGAGCAGTGATTCCCAGTTCCTTGCACCTCTGGGACACGTCCTGAGCTGCCAACATAGCGGCATACGGAGAGGACTCGTCACGATCCGCTTTCACCTTCATCCCCCCAGTCACACGGCAAATTGTTTCCCTGCAAACAGCACAGACACGTCACACACAGACAGCGGCCATCACAGGGGGTATCACAATCCCAATCCACCCCCCCGCCAACACCTGAGACGTCTCTCTCTGCATGCTCAGCCAGAGAGCAGCCACTCGCTGTAGCTCGTTACCACACAGCACTTACTTGCCAGACAGATCTGTGACGTGGACGAAGGTATCATTGAAGGATGCGAAGATATGGCAAACTCCGAAGACATTTTCTCCCTCGGCCACCTGTGGCCCCAGGCTGATCACCTGCTCTTCCTTCTTCTCTTTGCCTTTGCGAGGAGCCATTCTGAAAGGGTAGGAAACCAAATTCACAGTTACTACACTTCACAGTGAAATGCTCGACCTGATATGAGGCTGTGTCATTTGTCAGGAATAATAGTGTTTGTGAAACACCCCCCACCCACCACATCCAGCCTGTTTGGCGCACAAAATAATCACTACAGTATATATCCTGTGAAGTGCTTTGAGATGTTGGGTTTGGGGGGGGGTTGTAGGGGGGTGTGGGAGGGTTGTGGGGGATGTGGGGGGGGTTGGGGGAGTGTGGGGAGGGTTGGGTGGGGGTGTGGGGAGGGTTGGGGGGGTGGGGGAGGGTTGGGGGGTGTGGGAGGGTTGTGGGGGGGAGTGTGGGGAGGGTTGGGGGGGTTGTGGGGAGTGTGGGGAGGTGGGAGGGTTGGGGGGGTTGTGGGGGAGTGTGGTGGGGGGTGGGGAGGGTTGGGGGGGTTGTGGGGGGGGAGTGTGGGAGGATTGTGGGGAAGTGTGGGAGGGGTTGGGGGGGTTGTGGGGAGGTTGTGGGGGGGTGTGGGGGTGGGGAGGTTTGGGGGGGGGGTTGTGGGGGAGGGGTGGGGGTGTGGGAGGGTTGTGGGGGGTTGTGGGGAGGGTTGTGGGGGGTTGTGGGGAGGGTTGTGGGGGGGTGTGGGGAGGGTTGGGGAGGGTTGTGGGGGGGGGGTTGTGGGGGTGTGGGGAGGGTGTGGGTGTGTGGGAGGGTGGGGGGGTTGTGGGGGTGTGGGGGGGTTGTGGGGGGTTGTGGGGAGGGTTGTGGGGGGGGTGTGGGGGTGTGGGGAGGGTTGTGGGGGGTTGTGGGGAGGGTTGTGGGGGGGGGGGTTGTGGGGGAGTGTGGGGGGGGGGGGGTTGGGGGGGTGTGTGGGGGGGTTGGGGGGGGGAGAGGGGTTATTATCAGTAACTATTATTTATTATCCCCGTTGAGCTCCGGCCCGGGAGGCGCCATGTGGAGCACCAGGAGGGTCGCCGCTTCCTCACCGAACAGTCTGTGAAAACCTGTAATAAAGTGCGAATGAAACGCCACCCACCAGCGCGGCCATTGCTCCCCCCCCCAGGCCCAGGCCCGGCGCCTGCCGTGACAACCCCATCGAGGAGGAGGGGGGGGAAAAAAGCCCTCAGCTCGACCCCCAGTCCTGCAAATAACGGTCGGGACTGGCGCCCCGGTTGCCGACGGTGCCGTGCGGGAGGCGGAGGGGGGCGGCGGGGGCGCGGGGGGCGGCGGATGGCGGCGGATGGCCGGCGCGGCCTCACGGTACCTGTGTGTCTCGGAGAGGCGCCGCCGGAAAGAAGGAGCAGCCTGCGCAGGAGTCCACTGCGCAGCCAAAGCGGCGGGCCCGCGCGGGCGCTCATGGGAACACAGCCCTCCTTTTTTTTTCTCCCCTTTTTTTTTTCCGCCGCCGCCGATGTCTAAACCGACGGTGTTTTTTTCAGCCTTCTTCAACGGGGAGGTTTTTTTTTGGGGGGCGAGTGTGAGAGCGGGGAAGTTGTTGTTTTTTTTTAAAAAAAATCTTCCCTGGCTCCCTCGCCGTGACGTCACCGCACCCCCATTCAGAAATCGGCGGCCGGGAGCCCGCCCACACCGGGGAGGCTCCTGAGTGGTCAGGCAGCAGCACGTGACATGCGCGCACGCGCACACGCACGCACGCGTGTACGTGCGGCCACGTGTCTGGCTCAGGCACTCCCAAGACAGCTGACCAGAGGGGGTGGGGAGGGATGGAGGCCACCAACACAGCACACAAGCTCTGGGCTCTTCTTCAGCCTGTGGCGAAGTTGGTTCGCGACGACGACAACTTGCCTTTATCTAGCGCTCACCCCCCCCCACCACCCGACAGCCGCACGGCAGCGTCCCAGAGCGCTTGACAGTGGGCGGAGCAGGACGCCGAGCCTGGGTGTGGGGGGGGGTGGGGGGCGGTGGAGAGAGAGGTGACCGTAGGCACTGGTCGAAGCGGAAGGACCTCAGGCGCGACCTGAAGATGGGGAAGGAGGGGACAGGGCGGAGGGCTCGAGGGAGAATGTGGGGGCTTTGGTGGCTGAAAGCACGACCGCCGATGACCTGAATTCCACTGGGACTTCTTCCCGACGTGAAAGGCACGACACAAGTGTGATTTGTTGTTGGGCGCTGGATAAGGTTGAACGTTTGTTTGGTTACTGCTGTACGAACACACTTCTCTTTGTCTCTGCCCTTGACTGTCAGACCAGGTCATGGATGGCATCAAAATAAATGGAATAATTACGCCTTAAATGCACGTAACTGCCAGAATGAGGCAGTTATTACTGAGATAACATCGGTATTTCAACACCTTTATAATCTTTTGATGTTATTTACTCTTGTATTATCTATCACTTATCATTTTGTCAACTATTGTTTTATTCCCCGTTGCCACTAGGGTCCGCTACTTCAATCAGTTTAGTTGCCCACACAATATAGTTAATTCACTTTGCAGTATATTCTGTGAAGCTCTTTGAGACGTCTCAAAGACGCGATAAGGCGCTATATCAAATGCAAGGATTATTATTATTACTGTCCTTCCAAAGGGGACACATTTTCAACCCTATGATTTGCACATCACTGGAGTGACCAGAAAAGGAGAAGCCACTTCCTGCTTAAATCAGGCTAATCTTCAATACACAGTGACAATCACACATAGACCAATCATATGCAAAGGGTATTTTAATCTTTACTTTGAAAACATGGGAAGCGTTGGTATATCTGACATTGTAGAGAGAGCTTATATGTTAATTGACTCATATTACATTCTTACTGAACAGACATCAAAATGATAACGATTAAGATGAGAATTTATTTCACCATCAGTCGGAATGCGACAATTAAATACAAATAGTAACTTTATTGCACAGCCGTCTAGAAATGTGTTAAGAGTCATTACAGATCTTTTTATTATTGTTAATACAATTCCCGTGGCTTAGACAAGCAAATGAGGACAGGGTCAGGGTAGAGACAGAAGAGACTGAAGTCACAGCCAGAACCCTGCGCTGTCCATCAATCTGATACCAGTTTATTAAAAGAGAATCGTTTCTGAAATTGGGTTTCCCCAGAGCATAAATTAAAACCACGAATGGAAGAGAAGATGGATTCAAAAAGACATTAAAAGTTGTGTCGAGCTTGGAACGGCAACAGAAGATTTTCCACTTTTCACAGGAATAAATTAGGAGGGGAAACAATAAAGAGAACAAAGCCATTTGCTATTTAGAGTCAGGTCACTGTTCCTGGTTCTGTCTGGTCTGTGCAGGAGGCACAGAGCTCAGGGTCTCACCCCTCACTCACCATAGCACAGTCAAGGGAGAAGTATAAACAGGTTGACAATACTGTACTTATAGTCTTTGATCAGCAGGCTTCCCGAGGTTCCTACTCATTTGATTCAAGAAATATTTTGCACATCACAGAGTACATTGTCAGTAAGTCTCTTTCTCTCAAGCTGTTGATCCAAGCTTCGGTGAGGAAGAACAGTGTAGAGGCACAGAGCAATGAAAGACTTTACATTCCTTGGACTCTTTAGCAGGAAGCTTGCTTGAAGAGTGTTGCTGTACAAACAACGCAAGTCTCCAACATGACCCAATATCAGTAAATTTTGCTGAAATCATGACCAACATTGAGGTGTAAAAGTTTGTTCAAAAGTAATCAGGACACGTACAGCAGCGTTACGAATAGCAGATATTTTGTTCAATGCCCCAAATTGGGCTTTGTGTGTTGGGGTAGATTAGATGCGAATGGTAACGGCTTAACATTTCATGCAATTTATATGGCAAATCCTGCTTTGAGCCAGGCCAGCACATGACGTGAGCTCCCTCCACACCCAGCCACAACCAACCATTTCACTGTCAAAATGTAACACTGAAGAGAATTGTTTTGCTCATGGCTGCTCCGTTTCCCACAGAGAGTTTGGGTGCAGCCAGAGGCTTGACGTTAGAGAGAGCCAGTCACACCCAGCACGAATGGAATAGCACTATTTACAATGAAGACAGGTTTAAAGATTTGTTTCATGCTGACACCCTCCAGAACAGCTGACGATTTAATCTTAGGTGATATTAAATGACACGTTTAAAACTGTTATAAGTTAATGAATGACCTTGATTCCCATGTTAAAAAGTTTATATCCACATAAAAAACCTGGTGTCTGCTGCTCGTTCAGTGCTGGAGCATCTCAGGGTGTTTGACAGCCTGACTCCAGGTGTGAGAGGGGAGCTACACACACACACACACACACACAGTGAATGGGGGAGACAGGCGGGCAGACAGGCAGAAAGCACTGAACACAGCAAATAACTAGCCAAGTTTTTAGGTCAAATATCACCACTAGGCGTGTTAAGGCCACACCTCGGTTTCCGAGACTTGGGATTAATTCCCGAGAAAATCTAAAGCCACAACTTATTACAATTCTCCTTCCCGTTTCCAGCCCCTCGATCCCATTCCCACTGCTCCACCCTCCCCAGCCGCCAGTATTCCCGGGATGAGCGGAAATCCTTTCACCAAGTAAATTCTTATGTCCTTATGAGCGGGTAGGCCCTGACCCAACACAGGGACCGCTCTGCCCCCTTTTCGTTCCCACGTGACACTCTGGTCAGGACACGTTATGAATAATCATATTTGACTATATTCTCTCATCAATAATTCTCTTTGCAATGCGCTTGAATTCAAGCTGCTGTATTCTGAAGTAGCTTTAAACTGTTCCCGAAAATATTTCAGTGATAAAGAACCTGATTACAAGTAGGGAATTCTCCAGGTCCCAGCGAGACTGAGCACACAGCTGTCTCCGCCTGGTTTGCAGAGAACACGACATGTCTCCTTATTAAACATGGTGCAGCCAGGCCTGTGTGGCTGGCAAGTGGAAGAATCGTGTGATAGAGCCTCTGTAGTTTTGCCCTGACAGGGGAGAAATGTGCTCTGTGAGATATTTTGAACGGTGTTGATCAAGTCCTGCTCCCACTGGTTAAGTCTTTAGTGGTTTCAAGCAAAGCTCCCTGTCTGTCATTCCCACTCACCATCACACACACACACACACGGTGCAGGCAGGCAGGCTGTACATTCTGCTGGAGAGCTTACCAGCCCGTAGACGCTGGACAAGGTTTAACACTGTCCAGCGAAGTTTTCCTGACAGCCAGGCCAGGCACCTGTCAATCTCTCGCTCTCTCAGGGTTCGGGATCGTGGGTGAGATGTCCCTGACAGCTGTGTCACACTCTGCTCTCTCCTGAGGCCCACAGAGGCATTCCCACCCTCCGATCTCACCCAAACCACGAGCCAGACATTCCCTCGAGCCACAATCATCACAGAAAAACCACCGCTCTCGTTACCCTGTCCCGAGGCCGGCACAGCTGCCAGATCCCTAATTTCCTTCAGGACCCAATTGTGGCTGAAGATCGGCCCCTTTTCCTGCTCCCTCGGGAGGAGAGGAGCCGCAATCACCAGGTGAAAGCACAACAATAATCTTCACAAGTTTCCAACTCCGCAATGACGTATTAAACACGAGTCTTTCCCAGAGGAAGATTAACCATCATCGATGCTCATCGTCTCCATCATCATCTCCGAAGCCCGGCCAGCCTCCCCGCCACAGGCCACTGTGTTAATGATGAGTGATGGAGAGGCTGTGGCTCAGGCTGTAGCTGTGCCTGGTGTCTGGCCGTGGAGCAGAGCGAACAGTGGTGTGCGATGCTGATGAGAGCCTCCTGTGCTACCTGTTGCTCTGAAGTTCCTCCCTCAGCCACGTGGGCAGTGTCTGCCCCAGTTTGTACAGAAGCTTGGACAGCTCGATGTTGTTCTCTCTGTAGTAATCCCTCAGGAAGGCCCGGGACTAGAGGAAAGTAATAATAAGATGATAATGTTATTAGCAGCGAGGTTTGTACTGAAGGTAATAGTCTGAGCTCAAACACACACTCACACAAGGGCTGACGAGCCGCAGTTTCTAACAGGATGCTTCAGGAGGGAACCTCAGTGGGCTTTGTCTCTCTCACTGACACCCAGACCTCGCTGACTATAAACAGGAGGCGTTCTCTTTGTCCAGGTTTACAGTGAAAGTCCATATCCCATCAGTGTAAACACGCATACACACACGCAAACACACACACACACAGCCTGTTGCTGTCTCCCCTGACCGACAGATCAGGTGTGGGCTGGTGTGGTACAGGAATCATGTCGATGGGGAGCATGCATTGGGTACGTACATCAGGATCCATCTCTGGGTACTTGCGGCCTTTGCTCTTCCCCAGACACTTGCTTTTCCCCCCATCCAGCAGCTGGCACCAGAAACCTTTCTTTGGGTCAAATCTGAAATTCACAAACATTGATTACAAACAGGAGCAGCCCAACAAGATCACAGCAGATAACAATAATAATAATAATCCTTGTATTTGATATAGAGCCTTATTACGCTTCTGAGACATCTCAAAGCGTTTCACAGAATATACAGTAAAGGGAATTGACTGCGTATTTTGTGGGGAAAATATGGCAGCCAAATGTACACAGCAGCGTCCCACTAACAGCCGTGGATTGAATGACCATATTATTATTATCATTATTATTGTTTTTAATTTTGAAGGGTTTATTACCCCCGGTACCCCCCGAACTAACAACCGGGTTCCTACTGACTGCTGATAAACAGAGGCGTGTGGAGTAAGGAAACTTGCTTAAGGTTTCGCCTCGTCTGGGAATCGAACCCGGGTGCTCTCACTTCCAAGGTGAGTGTCTAATCCCTGAGCTACAGAACTCTACTGTTACTTACAAGAGTAATTTGTGATAATTGGTGAAGACTCGGAGGCCGAGGAATTTCTGCACTTTGTTCATCGTCATCGCTGGCTCCGTGCGGAGAAGCTGCCCATCGAGGATCAGGATCTGAGAGGAACAAACAAAGCAAAGCACTGTGTAACACAAGCAGAACTCACACCCCGCACCCGGTCACACCCTATCACACCCCATCACACCCCGTCGTGCCCTTTGGCCCCAGTGACTGTCTGCCCTTCCAGGTCCTGCCAATTCCGGAAAGTATCAAGCGCAGGTTGGGAGGCCAAACAGAAAGTCCCAATTTCCTGAGTCTCTTCATTAGTGAAACAGCTGCTGAGGTGGGTGGATGGTTGTTAGGGCAGGGGGTTAGGGGGTTAGGGTTCAGGGGATGTGGGGTAAAGGTGGGTAATTGGAGTTGAAGTACAGATCAGCCTTGATCAAGTAGAATGGTGGAACAGGCTGGAGGGGCTGAGAGTGTGGCAGTGAGGAGGTGACTTGCCTGGTTGGGATGGTAGTAGTTGAGCCAGCGTTCGATGTGCACTGCGTACCAGCCCGGCACCAGGCAGCGGCTCTGCAGAACCCGCAGCTTGGGGAGAGCGTCCGCCCCGGCCGTCATCACCTCGTAGAAGCTGTACTTCAGGGCCACCGGGTCCTCGTGAGCTCGCTGGTGCTGCCGCCACCACAACAACAACAACTTGTATTTATACAGTGCCCTTCACGCGGGGCAGTACCTCAGAGCGCTTAAACCAGCACAAAGCTAACAACACGTCAGGGAAAATACCTCCCTGATGGTTTAAATCATCTTTATAAGATTGTCTGTCAAATCCATCTCATAGAGATACGTATTCTAGCTTGTATTCCCTTGAGTTTAGAAGCTCGAGGAGTTTACAATGATAGAGGGATTGGACAGGATCACTACCGAGAGACTATTTCCCCTGAAAACAAAAACAGAAATCGCTGGGAACACTCAGCAGGTCAGGGAGAAAGCATCTCGGGAGAAAGGAAAGTGCGTGTACAGTGTTCCCGGCCACGTCTGTGTTTGTTTTCAGATTTCCAGCATCTGCAGTATTTTGCGTTTCGAAACTATTTCATCTGCTGAATGGAGGAATCCAGGTCAAGGGGGAATTATCTTAAACTTAGAGCCAGGCCACTCAGGAATGCTGGATCTATTCACACGGTCAAGTCCAAGATGGATAGATGTTTGTTAGGTCAAGGGATAGCAAGGGATATAAAGTAAAGCCGGATAATTGGAGTTGAGGTATAGATCAGCCATGATCTAATAGAATGGCAGAACAGGCTCGAGGGGCTGCTTGGCCTCCTCCTGTTCCTATTGCGTTTGATGTTGTATTTCAAACACCTCAAAGTGCTTCACAGGAATGCTCTATCCCCGCCTTAACCCCTCTGTTGTGGCTGCTCTAGTCTTTGCCCATGGCTGGGTGAGAGAGGAGAGAATCACAGACCTGGTACCAGGAGTAAGCTCTGTCTGCCGGATTAATCAAGATGCTGATGATCTTAGCTTTGGGCAGCAGGGAGGCTACTCGCTTGGGAGACACCTCAGAATCAAAGTAGTTGGCACTCTTCTCGAAGAAAAAATCAGAGCTGGTGTTGGAGGGAACGGGGAAAAATTCCATGTACCTGTAGAGAAAACAGACAGCACATCACACAGGGAACAGCAAGGCTACAGCCCTTCGTGTCAGAGACATCGGCAGCAGTTACTGTAGACTGTCTGTGAGGCGAGCGCACTAACCACTACGCTATGGGATTCCGATTGGTAGGAATGTCGTATGATTATGGGACATGATTCACAGGAAAGTCACCAAGTTGTATTGTGCACAAACTCTCTGAACAACAACAACAACTTGCACTTATATAGCGCCCTCTACGCCGGGTGGCGTCTCAGAGCGCTTAAACCCTGCTTGATGCTAACCTGCGTGACGGACGCTATACAGATGCAAGTTGCTGTTGAAAGAATGTCTCTCAGCAAAGTTTTATGACCGAGGTCTAACTTACCAGTCGATGCCCTTGTGATAATTGGGTCCATTAAAAAACTGTAGCTCCTCAAAGGTGTCTGGGCTGGGAAAGTTACTGGTGATGTGTGGGTGCATGGTGAGGAACAGGTACAGAGCTGTGGTCCCTGCAGGGAAAGAACGTGCGGTTAGTTTGTTCCTTCAGATGACACTTTGTAAAGACTCACTTCACTGAAGAGTAACTATCATTTGACAAAAGCTCCTATGTCTCTTGTTCCTCACTTCCTCACACACTTTCTGATCCCAGGAGAACACTCAGCCACAAAGTCCATCCAAAGCCGAAAGTGTCCCAATTATTCACACTTCCAACAAACTAAATATCCACAAGCCAAAGGCAGCCCCGCAGGTTACAAGGCTGATCTGTTGCATATCAGCATCTTCTCATCAAAGGTCATTCGAGCAGTAAAGGTTTGAAGTTTTATTACTTAAGATTCAGGCACCAAATGAACATATAAATACAATGTGGACACTGTCAAGTGGATTGATTACCCGTCTTCTGTGGCCCGATGATAAGCAGTTTGGGAAGTCGATCACAGGTTTTCTCTTTGGACCAGATATCTTTGTGCCGTTTGTCCTGACAAGGATCCTGGGAACCAGAGAGAGAGAAAACAGTGTGAGGTTTGCCGGCCACAGTCATCCGTCAAACTGTGAAGGAAGGGTGCAAAAGTCCTGCAGGTGGTGTACCTGCCACAGGGGGTCCTTTTCTTGGGGAAACAGCTGGAAGTATTTGTGAGCCAACTGCACTGGGGGCAAAGTCCGCAGCTTCAGGTTAGTCCAGCATTGCAGAAAGCTGATCAGGTTCTTGAAGGTGTAAAGCCCCAGCCGGTCGTTCCCATAATTGGACAGATGTGTCATAAAGATGCTAATCTGAAACAGGTCACAGACAAGATGAACACGCTCTAATGACAGCAATAATCCCGGCGTTTCACACAGGCGGCGCCTGATCCCGTCTTCCAGACGTCTCAAAGCGCTTCACAGGACCCATTGTAAAGCGGAGTGTCTGTGTGTTTTGTGGGCGAGAGCCGCAGAGAAAGGGAGAGATTCTCACAGAGCTGTGGCCCGGCGCTGCACTCACAGGGTTCAGGAGGACAGTGAGGAAGAGTTCGCCCCCGTTGATGATCTTATCCAGCTCCTTGGGCCCCGCGGGATACTCGCTGTAGAATATAGTGTGTGTGAAGAGGCCACACGTCTGACGAGGAAGGACCTTTGAACAACAGAAGATGGAAATGATTGGCTGCCTCACGATGAGCAGCTTCACCAGAGCCGACAGGTCAACAGCAGCAACAACAACAACAAATCACATCTACACGCGCCCCCACCCCACCCCCCCTTCAAATCAGGAGAACGGCCCAAGGCGCTGGGCTGTCAGGGATTTGGATCTGAGCTGGGGGTTGGGATCAGGAGGAGGTGAAGGGTGGGGTGGGAGGGGTGGAGTGCGGGGAGGGTAGGACATTGTGACAGGGTTAGAGTGAAGGAGACTGGCTCCCGGGCCTCGCTGCTCACCATGATGCCGTTGTGTTTGAAGCCTCTGCGGAATCGTGCTGGTTTGAGGTGAGGATACTCCTCCGTGCTGGTCACCTTGATGCCCCAAACCCGCTTCCACGCCTCGTACAGCTGCACGTGGACTGGGTATACCCCGGAATGGTGGGGAGCCACAGCGTAGCCCATGTCTGTCGGGATTTTGTGTTCCTGTGTGTGTGTGTGGGGGGTGGGGAGAGAGTGAGTAAGAATTCTGATGTTATACACACATCACTGCCCGGCCGTCTGAGTCACCCAGACTTGCGGTAAACTCTCATTAATCCACAGAGAGGTTACAATTGCTGTCTAGTGTAGTGACTGTGTCTGATCGTGTCACTACAACAACAACAACAAAATTACATTTGTAAAGCGTTGTTGTTGTAGTAGTAGTAAAGCCAGGTTGGCAGCTCACAGCGACCAGGTCACCGCACTGTGTGGTTCAGGAACTCACCAAAGCAAACTGCTTGTTGAGGAGCATCTGTTCTGCCAGCACTGACTGGTTGTGGAAGAGGTGAGGCTGCATGTGACTCCACATGTGGGGAAACCACCAGAATTCACTCACATAGGACAACAGCAGGCTGTCCCCTTTGTCCTCCTCTTCGGTACCTAAACACAACACTTCGTCGTAAGATCAGAACAATTCGCTAGACACAAGAACAAGATCCATCCCCTGCACCTTCCACCATCCTGGCCATCGTTTGCGCACGTCATGTCCCAAACCACATACTGTATTTCCAGATATTAATTGCTAACAGAAATCTATCTCATTCAAGACCCATCTCAACACCTTCCACTTCGACCGGGCCTTCAGTCACCCCCCTACCCCCACCCTCCCTGCCCTCCACCCCTCCCGATCCCAGCTTGGGTCCATCCATCTGTAACCTAGACAAGATCAGAGCGATTGCAGGATAGTGATAACGAGAGAGCCACCTGTGTAATAGAACTTTCCGGAGAAGCCCAGGTTGAAGGTGAAGTTTGGAACGTGAGTTCGTAACTGATTCTGGGTTTCGAGCAGAGCCTGAAATACAGAGCAGAGGAGCATTCAATCCCATTTCACATCCCAAACCCTCCCACCCCACACACACATTCCAACGTCCATGATGGCGCTCCAAAAGAGGTTCCCACTCTGCGCCGCTCCTGACCCCTTCCCCCCACACACCCTTTCTGATATAATAATAATCCCGGTATTTGATATCGCGCCTTATCACGTTGTTGAGACGTCTCAAAGCGCTTCACAGAATATACTGTAAAGTGAATTGACCGTATGTTTTGTGGGCAAAACTCGGCTGCCAATTGCACACAGCAGCGACCACGGAAACAGTCGTTCGTGGGATATTGGTCTGAAATATTGTTCTACACTTTATCTTCTGCGATGCACCAACACGACCGCTCAGCACAGAGGGAATCTGGGCTGACACCAACCCCATCGAACATTACCTTCACGTCCTCCACCTTCATCCTGGTGCCCTCTTTGCCCACGAAGATGTCGTCGATGTCCACCAGAAGGTACCTGTCCAGAGACAGCGACAAGCGTTTCCCGGTCAGGAAGGACACGGCATCCACAAACACCAGCTTGTGCAGCCAGAAGTTCATGTTGTTGCCGAACAACACTCGTTGGATACCGTCATGGAGACCCAGGTCCTGGACCACGGTGGTGTGGAGGGCAGCGTCCACCTCCATGTGTGGGATGCTCTCCGCGGATTTGGTCTTCGCCAACAACACGGGTTCGTATGTGGAGTGGTTAGACTGGAAGACAGTCCAGTCATCTCCTGGGAGGAAACTCTTCTCGATCTCTTTGGCTTTGGTGATGTAGAGCAGAGGGGACCTGGGGTTTATGCTACAGTCCTTCAGGCCCAGGTTAGAGTGGAGATACAGGGGGAAGCCTTTCAGCTGCGCACTCAGTAAGCTGTTCTCATTGGCCTTGAAGAACCCAATGATGCCTACGCTGTACTCGATGCAGTACTTGTCTAGAAGCTCCCGATTCCAGGCGTCCAGGTTGACGTACTTCAAGATGTTTTCGTAGACAATGAGGATGAAGCGTCCCCGATCCTTGTCGGTCAGGGTGGGCATGTCCCCCTTCCCGGGGGCGATCTCCGTGTGGTACCTGAACCGGCTCGACTCCAAAATGGCCACGATTTCCTGTCCCAGCTGAGTGTACATGCTCTCCACAAACACCAACACCACGGGGTCAGTGCGGGATGTGTCCACAGGCTTCACGGCTTTAGTGGGGAACAGCCTGGAGGGGGCGACTTTGGAATCGTCGCACTCCGGAGCCTGGAGCTCCCCCGACGGCTCCGTGTCCTGTTTCATGCCGCTGTACAGGTAATAGGCCGAGATGAACACAGTCACCATGCAGAAGGCAAAGAGCAGGAGGAGAACCCCCTGAAGTGTGAGCTGTCTGAGTGCTCGGCGGAGCCTGCCCAGCAAACTCATCCTTTACCCCCTCCTTCCGCCCCCCTCCCACATGGAAACCACAGCACTCGCTCGCTCTTCAACAAAATAAAAATCTTCCCACTTGCCCCTTCCTGCTTTTCATGTCACCATGGCAAATCATGTGTCGTTATACGAAGCTCAGAACATGGAGGAGGGGGTGGGGGTCCTCTGGTTCCCAGGACCCTCGCTCAGGTGGAGACCGACAGTGGAGCCTGGTGTCCATCCACCCAGGGGACGCCCTTCCTCACTCCTGAGACCATCGTTGTTACGGCTCCAATCCTCGCTCATCTATGAAAATCCACAGTCGGTGACAATTGAAGGCTGCAAAACAGTAAAGACAGACAAGGTTCAGTCACTTCCATTTCACCATCGAGATCCAAGGCAACGGTTTAAGGAACAAGTTTCAGATCCACAGCCAGAAAATAAGGTAAGAGCAAAGGCAGAGCCGTCAATAATTTAGCTTCTTCTCAATTTGACAAAATAATAATAATAATAATAATCCTTGCATTTGATGCAGCGCCTTATCACGTCGTTGAGACGTCTCAAAGCGCTTGACAGGATATAAAGTATAAAGTGGAGTGACTGTGTATTTTGTGGATGAAACGCGGCAGCCAATTGCGCGCAGCAGCGTCCCCAAAGACAGTCGTGGATTGAGTGACCAAATTTTTAAAAATATTATTATTACCCCCGGAAAGCGATCCGCCAATCAACTGACAAATGGGTTCTTACTTACTGTTGGGTAAACAGAGGGGTGTGGAGAGTAAGGAAACTTGCCTAAATATTATTAGTTGGTCAAAATGATCACCCTAAACCCCAGAACGTTTACATTAACATTCTTGATCTCAGTGCCTTAAAAATACACAAAAGAAACTCTAATAAATAAAAGAACAGCCTCTGTGAACAAGCACAATGCAAAGAGCGTGGAAACTCTTCACACATCAGTGACTTTAATCCTTTCTCAAGACACTTGAACCTTGGCACAGCAATTAGAAACAGCAGCAATTTATCTTAGAACGTCAGCGAGGAGGCTCAGTGTGGCCACAATCCTCTCCTCTCCACAAAGCAGAACGCATGACAGATAGAGTCAGCCACAATCTGGTATTACTAATAATAATATTATTATAATAATAACAAACCTTGCATTCGATACAGCGCCTGATCACGTCTTCGAGACGCCTCAAAGCGCTTCACAGAATATACCATAGTGAATTGACTGTATATTTTGTGGGCGCAACACGGCAGCAAATTGCGTCCCCACAAACAGTCATAACAACAACACAATTATATTTGTATAGCGCCTTTCGCGTCAGGAGAATGTCCCAAGGCGCTGGACAATCAGTGTTTCGGATAAATATTGGAAGCGTGATTAATTACCGTCTGCTGGAGACCTGCTGATTATGCCTTTCGAGGAGAGATTTACTGGGAAACACTGATTTAATCCCTTTTACCACCTCCATCAGTCAGTCAGTCAGTCAGTTTTTTGTTAGGATACAAAGCCTCGAGAGAAAAGCAGAAACTTGCGTAAGGTTTTGCCTTGCCCAGGAATCGAAACCAGGATCGTCTCGCTTGCGAGGTGAGCTCTCTAACCAATGAGCTACAGGACCCTCTGAAGTGGAGAGAAGCGCTGATAAGTGTTCCAAAAATGACAGGTGGTGATAAGATAGCTACAGACGTACGTATTTGCCACACGTTGTCCAATTCCCGCAGTGGCTAACCTCCTGACAATCTCTACGATAAACAGTGTTACGCTGCTTGCACACGTACAGGGATTGGGAACAGTGATGGACTAATAAAGGTTTCACTGACCCAATTACACACAGATTTAAAAGATTTAAATACTTGTGGTGGTTAAAGCGGGTCCTGTTAATCTGCTGCTCAAGTGTGAAGTGTGTGTGCCTGGCCAATCACTAACACTCTAGGGAATGGAGAGCTGTGGCATGTTAACCTCTCACACAGGGGGTTAGATACATACAGTATGTTCAACAGCAACAACAACAACAGATGACATTTACTCGATGCCTTCATGTCGGGAGGACGTCCCAAGGTGCTGGACAGTCAGGGATTTAGACCTGAGCTGGGGTTTGGGATCAGGAGGGGTGGAGGGCAGGGAGGGCGGGGGCAGAGGGTGGCTGAAGGCACTGTTTGACAAAGAGAAAGGTCTTGAGATGGACCTTGAAGGAGGCGAGGGAGAGTGAGGCGGAGGGACTGTGGGATGAAGTTCCAAAGGGTGTGAGGGGTATCGCATTGGCAAATGATACACTAACTAATGATGCACTGCTCTGAGTCGCTCTTGTCGGGGACCGAGGAGAGTTCTGCTCATACACAGAGCTCCACTAACCAAAAGTCAGCTTCAGTCAATACCAACAAGCTGCTTCACTCCATGGAAACCCATCACCATGTTTAACAGGGTGGTTTGAAGACTCTTAAGCACGGTGATGGGTTTCCATGTGTGTGTGTGTGTGTGTGTGTCGGACACCTGGCTGAGCAAAACAAAGCCTCAAGAAACATCTTAATCACAGTCAGTACAATCACAGAATTTCTAAGACTGAGGTTGATAGATGTTTGTTAGGTCAGGGGATCGAGGGATTATGGGGCAAAGGCGGGTAATTGGAGTTGAGGTACAGATCAGCCATGATCTAATAGAATGGCAGAACAGGCTCGAGGGGCTGAATGGCCTCCTCCCGTTCCTATGTTCCTATAACAATAATTCTTGCCTGTGATATTAACATCTAAAACAACGAAAAGTTTCAAAGGGTTTCACAGATAATTGCTGTCAAGGTCAGTGACTGTGTTTATAGACAAACACAGCTGCTAATTTGCACAAAGCACAATGCTTATATAAAAAAAAACGTTATTTAAATCAGGTCATAAATTTGTTCCACCTGTAGATTTACCTATGATTATCTGTTATATTTGGGTTTCCAATTGCTGTGGGGGAGATTACGTTTCTAATAAAAAGAACAACCTAATTGCTTAGGTGACATTTCTCTGTGCTCTGTGCTGTTAGCTCGGATTATACAGAGTGCTGGAAGATAGGTATAACCTGATTTCATCAGAAAATTTGACTTAAATAAATGAGTGGATCAACTTCTCAAACCTTGAAAGTAAAATTCAGGTGCAGCTTTATTGGAAAAGAGAAGAGGGTTTCTCCCTCTCTCCCTCCCGTTGTCCTGGACAACAATCTCCCTAATAAAATCAGTCGCTCACTCCATGGCTGTTTGTGGGGGGTGGTGGTTGGGGGGAAAGAGAGGGTGGAAGATGCGGGGAGGTAATGAAGAGCAGGAGCTTTGAGAGGGAGAAGAGGCGAGAGAGAGTCAGAGGAAACACAAGAAAAGAGAAACAGGCTTGCAAAGGAGAAATTAGCATGTGTTTAACAGTCTAATGGCAGCTCAGTGCACATTCCCGCTGCTCACCCAGTGCTAGAAACCTATCACTGCCAGCAAACGGCAGGAAAGGATGAATTGGTTGGTCTCCATGGCAACGCGGTGGAAGGTCACTCCTTCCCCGGCTGGACCACGGAGCAGAGCAGAGACGCTCATCTGTCAAGAGGGTTTGTGGAGCTCAGCGAATGCGAGGATTATTACCCAGCACCTCGGACGCCCCCCACCCCCACCCCGGTGTGAGAGGCGCTGTACAAGTTGTTGTTTTTGTTGTGGAATGTGATTAATTGAAGTGCGGACACACTCCCCAGTACGTTGAGCACAGATGTGTTCACCCACCTCCTGGCCACTAGCGTAGGTTTTACTTCACGTTCGAGAGTGAGAGAGAAAGAATTAAAAAAAAACTGCTATTGATGTCAAAATTATTCAGATTAGAGCCTCGCTGCCTCTTCCCCACTGAGCGGGCATCAAGCAGAGACAGGTGAGCAGTAACTGTGACAAAAAAAAACTGAAGAACATGTCCCTTCAGAAGAAGAAAGTGCCTCAGTAACACACACAAGCATTTAGCACTCAGATCTTCAGGACTGGAAGATCAGAGGGGGGTTTGAAGGCAGCGTTTGGTGCTGCGGTACATGTGTAATTTCTCCTCGGTAAGTCACACTCACTCAGTCTGCATATCCTTTGCCTCGACAGTTAGAGAGAAGCAAATGTCATCCAACTCCGATTACGTGCAGTCATGCTAACACTGAATGACATTTATGTGCTAGTTACTGCTGACAGATGCTAGAGATGAAAATGGCAGGGATGGGGGCAGCAACAATGATCTGTTTCCCCATCTTGATTAGTAAGGAAGATGCTGTTCTCTCCTCCACTTCCAAGGAAAAGGAAAAAATGGTCCATTATCATTCAGTGAAAAAAAAATCCATTCAATTAATCTAGAGCCTTGAGCTGAATAAAAACAGATTCCCACAGCCGTCCCCAAGGTGTTAGTGAAGCTTTCTGGGTGTGCGACTGTACACAGTGCTTTCCTCTCTCTCCTCTGGTGCCCAAACACGAACCATTTGGGCTGACGATGACACGACACTGCTTGCACTGAGGTGGACTAACATTTGAACACAGGGTCTCACTTACAGAATGAACACATAGTGACACGTTACCAAAACCTCTCAAGAATCATCTCCGATCCCAATCACAGCACCAGTCTGTCACCACCAGCAATGAATAATACAGTAAACCTGGCAAATCAGTGACCGGTGAGGTTGAAGCTCACCACAAAGTGCAAATGGCCGAAGAGGCAAATAGCTGCTGTCACTCACCAGGTCCCTGAGAATTCCTTGTACTTTGGTAATTGAAGTAAATCGAGTGCATTGGTCACATCTTCAGTGACGGGATGTTTCTAACACTTTTCTCCTTCCCTTCCCACTCAGTCCAGCTGCTGTGTCAATCCTCCAGCTGCTCACAGCTTATGTGTGATGAATACAGAGGGCGACACATTCCTCACTGTGCCTGACACATCTGGGGAGAGAGGAACAGAGATTATAATAATAATAATCCTTGCATTTGATATAGCGCTTTTCACATCTTCTCGACGTCTCAAAGCGCTTCACAGAATAGACTGTAAAGTGAATTGACTGTATAATTGTGGGCGAAACGCGGCAGCCAATTGTGCACAGCAATGTCCCACAAACAGCCGTGGATTGAGAATGACCAATTTATTATTGTTTTGGTTTTGGAGGGATTATTATTAGGCTCTGTGTGGAGTAAGAAAACTGGCCCAAGGTTTAGCCCTGCCGGGAATTTAACCCAGGAGTCTCTAAGCTCATGTGGAGTCCTGTAACTCAGTGGTTAGAGCACTCGCCTCACAAGCGAGAGGTCCTGGGTTTGATTCCTGAACAGGACAGGGTGAAACATTGGGCAAGTTTCCTTATTCCACACACACACCTCTTGTTTACCAGCAGTAAGCAGGAACCGGGTTGTTAGTCGATTGGTGGATCACTTTTCTGGGGGTAATAATCCCTTTTAAAAAAATTTGGATCAGTCAATCCACGACTGTTTGTGGGGACGCTCACTGCTGTGTGTAATTGGCTGCCGCGTTTCGCCCACAAAATACACAGTCGCTACACTTTACAGTATATCCTGTGAAGCGCTTTGAGGCGTCTTGAAGACATGATAAGGTGCTGTATCCAATGCAAGGATTATTATTATTATTATTATCAGTAACAATGCAGTGAATCAGGGTGCAAGGGAGCCATTTGCACCTCTTACTGTGACTATATGATTAAACCTATACTCTCTTCTCTCTTGTTAACACAGCTCCCAGCATTGGAGGCGAATAAATATTTGACAACAGGGTCAGGTCTCTTGGGACCAAATCCTCAGTAAATTTTAACATTTCAAAACATTTTGTTGCATAATGTGCCCGAGGCTCAAATGACAGGGATAGTAAACAGGAGACAGTGGATTCCTGTAGAGTGAACACAAACACACTCACTGTGGTCACAGGGTTACACACCGTAGCTGTGACAGGAATTTCAGGAAGTACATTAAAGTTCTACAGCATTGGACGCAGCAATCAATACACCACTGTTACTGTTCACAGTCTGCTTGGCTCCACCGTTTACTACTGTGCAAGGCAAACTACAACAACAAATAACATTTACACAACACCTTTCATGTTAGGAGGATGTCGCAAGGTGCTGGACAGTCAGGGAATTGGACCCGAGTTGGGGGTTGGGATCAGGAGGGCAGGGAGGGTGGCGTAGGAGGGTGATTTACCTGTGTAAGTAAACACAGTGGACACTTTGCTCACAGCAAAGTCTCTCATAGCTACAAGTGAATAATTGATTAATCTGGGTAACCATTAACCGATTAATTGTTGGCCATCGCACCAAGAGAAACTCCCTTTTCTTTTCCAATCCTGTCACAGGATGTTTAACATCCAGACAGACAGGATCTTGGTGTAACATCTTATCCCAGCATTGCCCTACAGCATTGTCAGCCTGAACTAGGAGCTCTAAGTTCCAACTCGGGGCTTGAACCCACAATCTTCTGACCTAGAATAACAGTACTGCACCAAACTCACCCTTAAACAAGCAGTCAAAAAGGAAGGCAGGGCTAGGGCAGTGACAGCATAATCCCATTAGATTGTAACTTCGCTGTTATACACCTATTTATGGCTTTTCAAAACAAACATTTCCTCCCATTTACTTAATGGAAATGAGCTCCGACACTTGTCAGCATCTGGGGCAGCCGTCCGAATCCCTACACAACAAGTACACTTAACCCGATTGACAGCCACTGCTCCTAAATTTAGAAACACTAATCTGTTAATTTCTTCTGCACACACAGAGATTATTCCCACACCTCATTATTTTCTACCCGTCTTCTTAAATAGGTAGATTTTACAGCTTTGAATGGCTGTAATCTCTTTTGGTATTTAAACCCATTGCTATTTTGGTTAGCGCTGCAGTTTGAGCTGGTTAGACTCGAGCAGTTACACCGAAGCACACTCCAGGCTCCCCCCAAGCCTTGGCTCTTGGCAACCTGCGCCTAATACTCTCCGGAATTGGGTAAACAGAATGCATCCCTCCAGGGAGAGAGAGAGAGAGAGAGAGAGAGAGCATTTCATTCCAACAATCTATCTCTGGGATTTCCATGTGTGGGTGGGATGCATGGAATTCCCAGCTTGGTTTGGAGCTCCTTAAACACGGTGATGGGTTTAAGCGTGTGTCAGATACCCGGCTGACTAAAAAAAAGTCAGGAAAGAGCTTTGTATAAGCGATAAAAGCACTTGTTTGACTACTGGTGTGTGAAAAGGAAGAGGTGACAGACAGACAGCAGAAGTGTGATAATACAGCAAGACTCTTATCAAGGAAATAAGTCTGTTGGCTGACAACACAAACACACACACTTTAATTCAATTTACTGAACAAACCTGAGGATAAGCATCACTGCTGGTTCAGTGTTAACCCTATATTAATTACAGGTTTCTGTAACAAAGGGGGCACATGAGATTACTACAGGATTTCACACAGGCGGGTGCCACATGCACTGTGACAAGGTAAAGCCTTGCTCATCTCATACTGTGGAAAACAGCTGAGAAAATACTGTCACCTCACATTTTACTCTAATCGCTGGCCAAAAAACAGCTTTAAAATATACAAAGACTTTTCCAATCAAGTAAATTTCTCACACGTCCACCTCCCCCAAGACCTGCATCAACACAGGGGGAAGTCAGTAAAGGGCAACTGCACAGGTAGAACTACACAGTGTGGAGTCCTGTAGCTCAGTGGTTAGAGTACTCGCCTCGCAAGAAAAGAGACCTGGGTTTAATTCCGGGCGGGGCAAAATGTCGGGCAAGTTTCCTTACTCCACACGCCTATGTTTACCAGCAGTAAGTAGGAACCCGGTTGTTAGTCGATTGGCGGATCGCTTTTCTGGGGTAATAATCTCTTAATATTAATAATAAATTGGTCACTTCAATCCACAACTGTGTGTGGGACACTGCTGTGTGCAATTGGCTGCCGTGTTTTACCCACAAAATATACAGTCAATTCACTTTACAGTATGTCTTGTGAAGCGCTTTGAGACGTCTCGAAGACGTGATAAGGCGCTGTATCAAATGCCAGGATTATTATTATTATTATTACTATTATTATCAAATGCAAGGATTATTATTATAGACAGATAACTGTGTGACATCAGCAACACATCCATCCTTTGGACTCCGAACGCTTAGCTCATAAAAAGCAAGTTAACTTGAAAACGTAACCAGATGACAGAAGATCAACCGAAGTGGGTGAACGAAGTTGGGAGACTGTCAGCCTTGATCTGGATTAAAGCGCTCTGATGATGGATGTGGTGGAAGGCAGCTGAGCAGCTGTTAAAGCCACCAGCCAAAGAATTAGCTGCAGAGAAACAGGTAGCTATTAATTTTGGTAAAAATTACATTACTGCTATTGCTCTTCTGAGGAATTCTGTGCCATATAGTAACAGAACAATTAAGCTTCATTACAATAATAATCCTCACATTTGATACAGCGCTTTATTACGTCTTTGAGACGTCTCAAAGTGCTTCACAGAATACACTGTAAAGTGAATCGACTGTATATTTTGTGGGCGAAATAGTGTCCAAGAGTCTGAAACATAAAGATATACGTGAAACACAAAACAAGTTTAAAAATCACTTGAATTAATAATAATCCTTGCATATGATACAGCGCCTTTTACATTGGGAGCACATCTAACAGCTTTACTGGGAGCAAATCTCAAAGCTTTACTGGGAGCACATCTTCAAGCGCTCTGAGACGCCACCCCGAGTGAGGACGCTATGTAAATGCAAACTGTTGTTGCTGTCGTTGGAGTAAAGTGCAGCGAGTGTATTTTGTTGGCAATCTTGGGGAAATTCAAGGGGAAAGAGGAACAGAAATTTAAATACATGCAAAATGCCAGCAGTAAAATGACAATAATCCCCACAGACAGGGGAGAGATGACAAACACTGGTTCTTTACTGTAATATGCAGATACATTTACAGACAACAACTCTTCATACTTGGAAAATGAGACAACGGGGAAGACCAGAGCGGCTAACACACAGCAACGGGCTGTGTAACCACCATAGCTGCAGTTATGGTGGAGTTTCTGTCTGAAAACGCCCACAAAAGGTACAGTCAATTCACTTTACAGTGAAGCGCTTTGAAACGTCTCGAAGACATGATGAGGCGCTAAATCAAATGGAAGGATTGTTATTTTGGATGAGGTTGAAATATTGGCCGATGGGTGTGGAGAACAGACGTCTCTCCTTAGAAACCGAGCCACTGGGACCCGACTCTGATAATAATAATAATAATAACAACAATAAATGTGGCCCAGGAGAGAAGCTGAGACATAATTACATTTGCAAACAGATGCTTCACAGCCATAGAGGGCAGTTATGACCGTTAAAGACCGAAATGGTGCAACAGACATAATCCTTGGCTCCGACACTTCAGAACTCGTCTCCTAGAATTGTTCTCTTAAAAGCTAAACGATTGGAGCCAAAATGATTAGCTGTGAGGCTGAGAGGGCTCCTGACAGGGCTCCTGACAGCTGTGTTCTGGGAGCTGAGAGCAGAGAAACATCAGGGCCTGCGGAGGGCTGGGAGGCAGCTGTGAGATGTGGAACGTCTTGGCAATGCCTCTCACCTCCACCAGCCAGTCGTGTCTTCACTCACTCACTCAGACTCACTAAAAGCAGAGAACGAGCCCAACAACAGCAGAACCTTCAAGAAAACAACAGCTGCTTTTGTCTTGGATTCACAGCCTTCAGCCTCCCTCCTCTGTGACTCTAGTGATGGACATTCTCACAGCTGAGCAACTGTTCAGATTGTACCCACACCCACACCCAAACCCAAACTCACACCACCTGTAAATGATATTGCTGCAAGTAGGTGCCTTGTGCCAGAATTTACACATGTTCTTGTAACTTATTACATTAAGAATAATCCTTGCATTTCATACAGCGCCTTATCACGTCGT